ACCCTGTCATCCCCTCTGCAACGCTTGTGCAGCTTCTTCCGTCCTTTCGTGGCTGTCATGCATAGTCCTAGTGGCTTAGAAGTGCCTATTTTTTCGGTGGTGGACGCAGCGCCAAATTGGCTTCGATGTCCTTTACAGCCGCGCCGCGTAAGCCCTTCTTACTAACATTGGGATATGGCAGGCCCCCGCCGCGTTTGCCACGCTTGCTGCTCGCGCCATTTGGTCTACTAACTGTATACTTGTGGCCGTTATGTTGGGGTTCCCGCTCGCGGTCGCGCTCCCGCTCCCGCTCACGTTCCCGTTCAACTTTGTATGAGTGCTGGTAGCCATAGCCTTCAGGATTGTTATTGAATTTTGGACTATAGCTGTCATATTCCAGTCCCTTTTGCGATGCAGTTAGTGCCGTGTAGACGGGTTTAGCATGCGCCTCAACCCAACTGGCGCTCGTCTCCTCATATTTGCTTGGCAATGGTTCCTTTTTTAGCACATACTGATAGGGATTCATGAGTGGGTAGCCATCGTCGGAGACTTGCCCGCTGGCACTAGCACTACCGCTCGTTTCTTTTTCATCTGATGCCTCAGCCGGTGGTGCTGGTTCAGCAAAGTAGCCCGAGTAGCCCTTGTAGTCGCCATTCAACTCACCGCTCGCCTTGAGTTTGCGATATTCGGCAGCTGCTGCCGCCGCCGAGAGTCCCCGTGACTTTTCCGGCTTGTACGGTAACGAGTTGATGTCGTGATATATTTCCGAATTGAAGTAAAGCTTGTTCGGCTTGCCAGTCACACTGGCGCTCAATGAGGATGGGCGTTCATCGGGTTCTTGTGTGGTCACCACATGCGACAGATCGAAATCTTCGAGATTCTTAAGCGCTGCGGTGTGGTCGAAGTGTTCGAAGTTGCCTTTGAGCGGCAGTGTATACGGCTTTGAAATCGTTTTGACGGTGGCTGTTTGTAGGGGCGCGCGTGTCTTAATCTTATACACAAACTCCACGTTTGGTGCGAGGGCCTCGGTCAATTCATGTGACTGGTGTCCGCCGGCTGATGCGCGGTAGGCAGTCTCAGCTTCTGCCTGATAGCGTTGCGCTGATTTAAGCTGATGTTTGGGTGCATGATGGCGTGCAGAACTCGCATATCCTGAAATGCTGGACGCCGATGGCGCGCGGTGTGCGGCCGTGGCTGGTGATGATACAGCGCTGCCGCTATCGCCGCTCACGTAGAGCGCATTGTGTGATGGCGTCGCGCTTGGGTATTTTGGGCGTGCGGTTGTCGAACCAAAATGTTTATCTTGGGCTGGCAGTGTTACCGTTTTGTGGTAGGGTTTCGTTTCTTGTGGCGAAGTGACGATCTTACCCTCAGCCTCAAGCTCTTTCATGTACTTCATCACCGATTTTTCGATTTGTTTCATTATCTCCGCTTTTGGTATTTCCGTTGAGGCAGATACACGCAGCTGCTCTGGCTCAGGCTCGGCCTGCGGTACGCCAGCGACCGGANAGAGCGCATTGTGTGATGGCGTCGCGCTTGGGTATTTTGGGCGTGCGGTTGTCGAACCAAAATGTTTATCTTGGGCTGGCAGTGTTACCGTTTTGTGGTAGGGTTTCGTTTCTTGTGGCGAAGTGACGATCTTACCCTCAGCCTCGAGCTCTTTCATGTACTTCATCACCGATTTTTCGATTTGTTTCATTATCTCCGCTTTTGGTATTTCCGTTGAGGCAGATACACGCAGCTGCTCTGGCTCAGGCTCGGCCTGCGGTACGCCAGCGCCCGGATAAGCTGGCTGAAAGATATACTTGGTGCGATAGTGTCGATCAACGCCATCACCATCAGCTGCGCCGCCGCCATCCCCATTGGCCTCGTATGAGTTCACGCTGTCGTCGTATACCTCATAGGCGCGTGTAGCCGGTTCTCTGCCGTAGGTCGGTGCCGACTGCTGCGCTACACCATTATCCGCATTTACAGCGGTGATCGCTTGACTGCGCTCCGTTTGCGGTTCCAATTGCTGCTGCTGTTGTTGACTTTCGACCTGCTGCTGTGCTTGCTGAATTTGTGCCTGTAACTGGGCGCGCATTTGTGCCTCCAGTAAGGCTCTATGATTTTCTTCCAACTGTTGTGACGACTGCTGCTGCTGCTGTTGTTGTTGTTGTGGGACATTATAGTATTCGTATTTGATGTTGGCAGGTGCGGAACTCTCTCGATTGCTCGTTGAGTCTTCACTGGATTGTAGCGCCGTTCTCGGTGGACTCTGTACCGCGCTTTCAGTGGACAGTATACGAATAGGCTCGCGGAGACGAGTTCCATATCGTTGCATCTTCATTGCATTAGCCACGTATTCCTCAGCCGTCTCGGCATCCTCAAGTGAACCCGACTCATAAGGCCGTGCTGCACTCAGACTGGCTGTGTACTTGGCAGTTATCTGAGTGTGCACTGGTTCGCTCTCTGGTCGAATCAGATTCATCTCTAAGTTACCATAAGGGTAGTCTGTGGGCAAGAAGACTGTAAAATATGTACTTAAATGCTTTCCGACTTACCTTCACCATCACTCGCGTAGGCTCCCCCACGTCTATGTGGATTTTTCTCAGTATGGCTAGCAGCGAGCGCCAGTTGATCGGCTACTGCATCGGACTTCTCAGTTACTTCTTCGGCAGTCGTTTTGG